ATCGGATCAGAGTAGTAACAAAATTATTTTGTATGGGTGTAAAACTATTTCTGAATTCAAAGAGAAATTTAAAATTTGTGAGAAAATCCGCGTTCCAGATACGAAGAATAAAGATTATTCAAGTACTAACACACAAAATAAAGGACGCGCTATACCTAATAAGAGTAAAGAACCAAGGTGTTATGACTGTGGAAGGGTAGGGCGCGTAATGTGTGCGCATTCTTTACGCGCACGTGTAAAGCATACAAAAAAAGAAGTTTGTGGCTTTGAGGTCCGGGTTATAGATCATTCCGGATAATGGACATCTGGATTATGGACTTTTTACTGTGTATATATATATATATTATGGGAGTCAGAGTCGGTCATTTTTCCTACCAACTCCACAGCCCTGTCACCAATGTGCGAGGCAGAGCTTCAAAATCTAGCCTTTTGTTTCCAGGAAGAGTCTGAAGGATATCTGCTGTGTCAGCTTTCAGAGAAGCGGTGAGATGACAGGCCTTAGCTTGGGGATCCCATCCATTCGCTTCCTGCCACTATAGAAATTGTGTCTTATATACTTGCTAGGAGGTCTTACCATCATAAGTAGATAGCTTCAAAGAGGAACGAGAAGGCATGGGTAAAAATTTAAATCCATCAGAATTGCTTCCTGCTGTCACTATGCATTTCTTTAAGGTGTCAATTTCTTTGGCAATGGCAACAGAAACCCTGTCTTCAGTTTGTTGTTCCATGGCAGAAGCTCCCTCTTCTATTTGTTCTTTTACTGAAGAAATCCTTTCTTCTATTTCTTCTTTTACCAAAGAAACTCTTTCTTCTATGTGTCCAACTTTATTTTCAATTGCATCAGTTCTGCCTTCTATAGCCTCGAATTTGTTTTCTATTACGCAGGTAATTTCTCGTTTCATTTCCTCTTGATCTACCTCAATCTTTTCTTGAACAGTCCTCATTTCCTCTTTAACAGATACCTGACCAACTTTCATCTCTTCTTGGCCTGCTTTAATTTCTCCTTTAACAGCTTTCATTTCTTCTTTAAGTGATGCTTGGCCATTTTTTTCTTGGATTGCAGTTATCAACTGTGTCAATTGTTCTTCCAATGTTCTAGTTATTGGCATTCAAAACCCCCACTTCTGACACCAAAAAGTGTTGTGTGCATATACATTTTGACTGTTCTCAAATCCATGTGAATGATGTTTTTGCATGACATCTGGACGTATTGTTGCATGCGTACGAGTTTGTAATAAATTGAATGCACAAGTAGGATGATAAGTGAATAAAATTTATTCTTTTCACAACTGATAAAACAAAATGCTTAAATTTCCTTAGAGATATCCATACAATATCGCAATATCTCACAGTAGTTATCTTTTAAACTACTAAAACTTTCAACAGAACTTAATTCAAAACAGCGAAAGCTAATCTGATTTCACCGCGAATTTGCTACAGTAAACACAGCAGTTGTCCAAACAACAACTGAATTGAGATGTTTTATTCCGGCTTTAATAAACTTTTTAATCTGTCACGAGAAGCTTCTCCTATTTTCTCGAGTTTTCTGGATAATTACGAGATATCTATTTATTAAATGCTCATGTTCCTGTATTTTAAATTTTCCTGTGTAGCTTTCTTTGATAGTAAATTTTTAAAAGTAGTAGTAAATAAAATTTATAGTGTTCAAAATTTTAATGTGATAATATGCTGTATATTTAATATTTTTTTTTAAAGTATACTTACTTGATTTATACTAATAATTCTAAATTTAGGCTCAATCCGAGTAAAATTCACATATATTTTTTATTTATTTTAAAAATTTATGTTTTAAAGTAATTTTCATAATTTTTTTTAATTTGATCAATAACCTATATTTTTAACATCAATTTAACACCTTAACAGCCACTTGACCCCTAGTGGATAATGATAGGTTTGTTTTCGTGCCATCATGATCCACCGTCACACAGTGACTTTCACATTTGTGGCCAGATGTACCAGTGGTGGTTCACCTTTTCTGCAGTTTTATATGAGAATATAAATTTTTTTCAGCCCTCAAATTGCCTTTGCTCAAATTGGTCCCAAATTACAAGTGTATGTAATTCCATAAACATATTTCTTTATTGCTCATAAAAATGTACAAAATTCTAAAATTTTGGAAATAATATTCATTTTGTTTTCTTATGAAATGGTGTTCAAACTGTATATGTGCTGTGATATTCTTGAAAGTACAAAGTAAATAAAGTTGATAACAAAAAAATCATGTGCATCCTATACGTAGTAACCTGCAGTTCTTTGTTTTTCAAACTTATGAATTAAAAATATACTAAATTTTGAGATTTGTAATGATCTAATACAAATGATACCTCTCGCATATGTTCTAGATTAAGCTTGCACGCTGGCAATATCCATGCTTACAGAAACTATGAGCTGTGGGTCTGGGGAGATGGCGTGCAAGTATCTAAGGCTATTGGGTTTGAGAGTATCCAAGGGGAGAGAGGGGATATTAAGCATGAGAATAAAGAAATTGAGTTCTGGTTCTAATGGGTGATGTACATTGTCCGGCCAGAAGTATCCAGACACCCAGTGGTATGGACTCAGAGAGTCCTGAGGCATATACTAATATGATGCTGGTTTCCCTTTTGCATCATTGACTGTCTGCACACTTCTGGAGAGACTTTCCACCAGTTTTTGGTAGGTGACTGTACATCTGGATCCCAGATACCATCCACAAAGTACTCCAGAGACAGTATTTCCCTTGTTTCTGTATGCAGTCTGAAAAAGCAAGATGAGACAACGTTTCAACATCCATGGTGAGCTCCTGGTGTATTTCTGTGGGCTTCTGTTGATGAAATTTTAATTGAAGCCTGCTATAGTTTTTTAAACATTTCTTCCCAAAGTGCAGCTCCAATGTGGGTAGAGCTTCGAAGAGTAGCCTCTGGTTTTTGGCAGTTTGAACAATGTCTGCTGTCAGAGAATCGGCAACATGGCAGGCATTAGCTTGAGAATCCCATCCTTTCATGTCTACTGCTGTAGAAATTATGTCTTATATACTTGCCATGAGGTGTTACCATCATATGTTGATAGCTTTAGAGGGGGACAAGAAGGTATGGATAAAAATCATCAGGATTGCTTTCTGTCATTGCTACAAATTTCTTTATGGCATCAGCTTCTTTGGCAACCACAGAAACTCTGTCATAAATTTGTCATTTGATTTGTTGTTGAACAGAAAAACTCTTTCTTTGATTTGTTGTTCCATGGCTTACACTCTTTCTTGAATTTCTCCAGCTTTGTCTTTAGCCGTGACTATTCTGCCTTTCATAGCCTCAAATTTGTTTTCTATTATGCAGTTAATTTCTCTTTAAATTCCTCTTGGCCTGCTTCAATCTTTTCTGGAACAGCTTTTATCTTTCTTTAACAGGTTCTTGAACAGCTGTTATCTCTTATTTGACAAAGTTGACGTCTCTTTCCATGATTTCTTGGAATGCAGCAAAGGCAGTCACCAGCTGTCTTAGTTGCTCATCAGTCGCTCCAGTCACTGGCATTCATCCCCACTCCTGACACCAAAATTGTCATGTGTACTAGTTCGTAATGGATTAAATGCACAAAGGTCCTATAATATGCTGATAAACTTTATTTTATCAAGAGAAACACTTCAGAACTCTGAAAATTCCCACAGGAATACTCGTACAGGTGTTCAGAGTATCACAAAGTACAATCATTAGTTATGCTTCAACTTAGAACGTTAACACTACTCGGGCAAAGCACATCTAAAAGGCAAAGTGGCTTTCAATACTTCGAACTAACAACTGACAACAACTACTACTACTGCTCAGGGCAGATTCTTGCTCTTGCCTAATATAGTTTTCACCCAGCCGCCAAGATATTTCTAATGCTTTCTGCTTCTCGAAATTACTGGAAGGAATTTGAAGTCGTAATTACGGTTACAGCTGCACAGAATATCAATTACAGTTATTCAGTTACTATGCCTATTATGGGAATACAGGGACTGGTCTAAAATGGTTGCCGAGTTCAGTGATATTTCACCAAATTAGCAAAATAGCCATTTACTCAATGTTAAATAGTCTTGGCCCTAAATTCTTACTTTTTCGGCAAGCTTAGCTCCTTTAGATTTTTGTGTTAGCTTAAACAAAAGAAATAGAACACTTTTACATATTATAAGGTATTTCTCTCTCTTTCCTAGCGTGCCTTCATGGTGTAGTGGTTCTGCACGATGGCCCAGTATTCCAGAGGTCCGTGGTTTGATTCCCGGCAAAGGCATTTGCTAATTTTTCAATTCTCCTGCTTCCAAAAATATATGTAATGGCTCTACAGTGGCGCTCAAACTAAAAGGGTGCTGGATGAGGTTTCTCCACATCCAGGATTTGGCGATTGAGTTCCCTGAAAACCCCAGTTGCCCTTTAAAAAGGGGAGTATATAAGGTATTTCTCTCGTTTTCCTAGCATGGTGTAGTGGTTCTGCATTCTAGGCCGGTATTCAGAGGTCTGTGGTTCAATTCAAGGCAAAGGCGATTGCTAATTTTTCATCTCTCTGGCTTTTCCAATTATCCTAATGTCTCTACAATATAATGTCACTAAAATTATATATCTATGTACAAAATTCATAACAATACTATGCATGGATAAACATCTGTACCTTCCCTGAGATTTGAACTGGAGCCCTTTTATGTGGCAGTCAGCATCACTAACTAGTATTCCATCTGGACAGCAGAATAATATTACAGAAACATTGAACAGTATTAAAAAAAATTTTAATTGAATTAAGTACACTAAACATGAAGTTAGGAAAATAATTTGAATGTTCATATTGTGAATTCAGCCATTAGCAATTTCATTGTTCGTAGATAGCAGTACTAATATTATGATTATTAAAAGCAATAAACCTGTATCCTAACATTATTTTTTTACCAAAAATAAATATGAAATTGTTTTAAACTAATGAAATCTTCAGATGGATGTTAAGTTGTAGATTCAGTGTTAAGTCAGTTGTCATTTAATTAGGGGCTCGACTGACCCTTTTTGGATCTTCTGTAAATGGATTTGGATTTAAGAAAAGTGATCTGGATATCTGTTTAACCTTTGAAGGCTGCAAGAAGGAGGTAAAAATTTCAATTAGGCTATTCATAAATCATGATTTGTTGGATATTTGATTGCCATTCATTTTCCTCTGTTTCTATGGTAATTTGTTTTAGTAATAATACAGAATCAATTTCGTGCATTTATTTATTATAATTATTTTATTACTCAGTCACATATTTAATTTGTTACAAGAATATGCATGCTACTGTTTCATTAAGAAAATCAGTTGTGAACAGTTAATTCAACCAGTATAAAGTTCTTGAGTCGGTTAAAATAAGCTTTGATAGAATAACTGGTTAAAATAATCTTTGATAGAATTTGTAAGCATGCAATTTATTGTGCAATGTTCGTATTATTTTTTATGTACTTTTAGTAATATATTTTTGTTTGTTTATTTAGGATATCAATATTCAGCGAACCATGCGTGTTCTTAAACACCACCTACGGAGGAATGAAGACTTTGAAAATGTACTTATCTTGTCTAGAGCTCAAATACCTATAATCAAATTTAACTATATTCCTGGTAATTTTATCTGTGACATCAGCTTTTACAATATTTTGGTATGTTGCATATTTAATAATTCCTATTTAACTTTATAATAATCTTTATTCACTTTCAGACGACATAAAATAGTTACCATACAGCTGATATAAAACAATTACTGGACATAACATAGTTTCTATTCAGATGACATAAAAACTGCTTTATGTCAACGACATAAAATAGTTAGGAATGTGATTTAAACACTGTAAGCCGTTTAACAATATGATTAAATTTTACCTATTAATAAAAAATGAGTGGGTAAGAATTTTTTTTTTATGTATAAAAGGTAATATTATTGTATTTCTTTTATAAATAATTTAAATGCATCATATTTGTTCTGGTGTAATAGCTACTAGAAATTATCTAATCCGATGATACAATACAAAATCCAAGATTCAGAATTGTTGGGACTTAGGTAATTCCAGATTGGAATGATTGGAATTGAATGATGTAAATTACTTTTATTTTTCCAAAATTGTTATTTTTCCATCAGCAGATATCGTCTTCTGGAAGCAACCAGTTTCTCTGCTAGCTTTCAGATAGTTACTTTGATATAATTTTCAGCCTTGTTTAGCAGTTTTTTAGTTACTAATTCCCAAGAACAGAATATTAGTGACTTTTTTCTTCATAAACATTATCATGGTGAAATGCTACCCCCTCTCTGTTTATTTGTTTAGACCTTTTCTGTTTTATAATATCAATCAGTTTGCCCAGTTGATGTCAGTAAACTTCTTTCGAATCAGTCATGAAACTGTGTGGTGGAAGCTTAAAAATATATCCTTGATCTTATGAGAGCATCACATATTATACAATGTTTTGAATCTGAAAAATAAACAAGGTAGTAAATGCTATAAAGCACAATTTATGATAAGGTTCTTAGCAAAAGTAAAATAGCTATGTAATTAATTAAAAATGTCTTCTTTTTAATTTTTTCATGATAAGAGTTTTTCTCATGTAATTGTTTCAGAATTCTTAGAATATGCATCAGTTTTCTCTTTAAAATTAATTTTACACTTTTTCCTTCTAATTTTTTCTGCCTTTTTTTTTTTTTTTGCTGTTACAGAATTGGTAAGGGTAATTTTTCTTAAGGTCTTTAGATATTGCAACTTGGAAAAAAGAGAAGGATTTTAAGGCAAGATTTATAGACCCATAATTTCAGAAGATTCCAGAAAAATGTGACAAAATGAAAAATGTCTTCAGGGTATTAACATGTAATGAATATATTTTAGACAAAGTTTCTGATGAATTTCATACCTTTTGGAGAATTTTTCGAAGAACAATGAAAACATAATACAGTATGAAGTCTGAGATCTGGATGTCCGATATCCGGAATGATCTAAAATCCAGACCTCAAAGCCACCAACAACTTTCTTAATTTCTCTTCATTGAACAAACAATCATTTTAGCATAAATTTGTATGATCAATAACCTCAAACTGAAACATTCTACATAGATACCTTGCTGGCTTTACACCTATTGATGTTTTATATTCCTGACACCAAACTGGCAAATCATTATTTATTATGTTTTGCTTTCATCATCGCATGTTTATTAACACATGACAACTTCATTAATGACTCATGTAGTGATGCCCATGGAGGTAAGAAAGGAAGGAGTGACCAATCCGGCATTAGAAGTGAAGCATCGCTCCGAAGCTTCGGTCACCAGATGGGGTGTTTTTTTGTTTACATTCAGAAGCTCGCTTAACAGCCCTCTGATAGTATTTCGACACACAACAGTTCCATACAAATCGAAAAACGGAACACTTCTGCATAAAAGAAAAATTCCTAGTGTGATGGATAACAGCAATTTGTATAGTTTAGTGACATTTATGCAAAAATCACATCTTGGTTATTTTTCAATAACTAACAACAGCAATTTTGATTATGATTAGTTTTATAAAATTCTAAGCTGTTGAACTACAAAAATATAGATTTTAGCAAAAACGTTATGCTTAAAGAATGAAAAATACTCACCGTACCTTTAAAATTGTATATATCTTTTGATACCCTGGATAGAGTATTCACTACTTTTATTTTATGTTTCAAACACCAAAATGTTTTAAATAAAATAATTTTTTTTCACATCCACATATTATTGTAACATGTACTTTTTTAAAATTAGTGTAAAGTACTTTATTCGAAAAAATAAAGTGAATGCACAGAAATTGAAGATTTCCACATGCTGGAACTGAAAAATGGTATTTATGCATGTGCTTGCCAAAACCATGTATCTGCATTTAACAAAATACATAAATATTCATTAAATTACTTATAAATGTATTTGAAATGAAGGCTTTATTCATTCCTAAACAACTGTGAAAGTTACTGTGAAAAAAATCTAATTTTTAAATGTATCTAAATTTATAATGATTATAAATATTATCTAAATATGTAATAACCTTAACATTGAATTGTAAACATAAATTGACATCCTGTTGAAAAATATGTTATAAAACTGGTTAAGCAAGAATTGTTCGTACTGGAAAGCAATCTGTTAAAAGGTATTGTAAAGCAATTTCTATGAGATGCGTACTTAAGAAAGTAATAAAGAAGAGTTTTGAATATGTATTGTTGAAATTAAGGGTAAAAAAAAAATCTGATAAGTATAATTAAAAGAATTATTCCCCTTACATTTTATGATAACTCAGTTACAAGTTTTAAATAATATTTAAGAAATAATCCTTATTTTATTCTCTTTCAGAAATATTTGGAGAAAGTTAAGTACTATTTAAAGTATTTCGCTATTAAATGAAAAGGTGCTCTAATTTGAAATGGACCGAATAGAGCATTAATTATAAATTGACTTATATTTTTTGATTTAAAAGATGCCTCAGAAGATAAAAAATCATGTCATATATGAGAAAGTATTTTAGGAAGAAACTCTATAAATAGAAAAGAAATAATGCATAATTTTAATAATACAATAAACTTTGATCTTAATTTTTGTAATCCTTAACCAAATCAAATCGAATGACCTTAAATTTTTTTTCTAATGTAATTAACGAAAACTTGTGAAAATATTTCAAATAAAACCATGCTGAGCAAATTGTTTTGTGAAAAGTATAGCATGTAATTCCATTCAGAATGAAATGCAGTTTAAAACTGTTTTCTTTTCATATACTTAGGACTCTGAAGTATTGTAGAAAAAGAAAATATTTACATTTATATGCATATTTAAGATGTAATTACAAAATATTTACATCTGATCGTGTCAAAACCCATTGAACTCGATGGTAAATTACCCAATGTTTTGGTCACCAAAGAAGGGATCGCCAGTGCTTCAAAGCAGGGTATGGGGAAACTGGTTTAGGGCCACTGCATCTAACTTCTTACCTCCATGGTGATGCCTAAGCATTTTTTTTTTTTTTTTTTTTTTTTTTTTTAGCGTTTTATGTTGACATTATGCTTGGCGATGATTACAAATTTAAGTTCAGTGAGCTAAGAAATGTTGACGAGGAAAAATTTAATAAAAATTTCTTTCTATATTCTAAAAATAGATTTTGTTAATGATATTCATAGACCAAAAGATTACATTTACTGCTATTTGAATTAAGGGTTAACTGATTTGTTTTTCTCATAAACCTAGAACCAGCGCCAGGTTTCCGTATGGCTGTACCAGGCTGCAGAATTTAGGGAAGACAAAGGGAGGCACTTGGTAGCAGAATTTAAGACCCACAGAGACTACATCAGGCAGTAAGATATCTAGTGCCGAAGTATATGTGGGAATTTATTTATTTAGGACTCAGATAAGTCTTTATTTATTCAGGACTCAGATAAGCATGGACAAGAAATAGACATAAATATAATAAATAACTAAGCTAATACAATTTAGGCTTAAATGTCTCAATGCGCGATAGAAGCAAGATAAAATTTAGCGGAACAACTTGTCTTTAGTTGCCTATCTCATGATACATAGCCAAATATGTATAGTCAACGATAGCTAAATTTTATAATGATAGTTGTGAATTTTAAAGGTTTCTGGATATCGCAAACCAGAGGTGAAGATTTTCCAATTGACGGATTCTGTAAAGAAATGTGGAGAAGCAGTAGATATAAAAGAAGTTTTTTATTGTGATGACAATGCTCTTCAATCATCAATCAATTAATGGAGGATGAAATCTACAGTTTGGTTCTAGATCCAGAAAATATGTCTTTGGATAGTGAAGAAAGTGACAGAGAGGTTACTGAAAACAAAAAAATTTCAATTGATAAGTTAGTCGGAATTCTTGGCATAGCAGTTACAGGACTTCAACAATGTAACTGAATAAGAAATTGTGTCAGTCTACAGAATTAAAGATAAAATATTAGCACAAAAAACAAAGCAATTTAAACAACTTATATTGAAAGAAATGTTTAATAAGGTAAACAAATAAATATTAAGCTTTTTTGTTGTTGTTTGTTTGTTTTATTTGTGTGTGTAAATTTTGATACTTTAAAGATGTCGTTTGACATAAAATTTGCCTGCTGTATACTAAACCTCTATACTGAGCAACTATGTAATGAAGCAAGAAGAAGAAGCATAAAGAAAATATCATTATAAAGCTAAATTAGTTAAATGTAAATGAAATGTCACTAATTTTTTTACCTTCTTATATGAAGTGAAAGAAGTATGGGAATCGGGAAAAATTTCAGGTATCATAATTCAGAAAAAATATCAATTTTGACCGCCGTTGAATCCATTGGAGTGATGTATTTGCATGACATCTATAGGTAAGGACAGAATAAAGGACATGTTTTTCCAAAACATTGTCAAATGGATTCAGAAGAGATTTTTTGTGACATCTGTATGTACATAAGTGCTAATGTATGCACTTGCATAACTGAAAAATGAGTAGCTTCATAACATTGAAATTTTGTACATGGAACTGCTATAATATGTAATTGTGCACCACCCTTTTTGGTTGCAATTACACTAAAAATATGTCACTATGTTACCTGGCTCGGTGAGCTCAGTTTGTTTTATTCTTATATGTTGGTAAATTGTGCATTTTTTGCTTTAAAAGGGATTGAATTATGTTGTTCTTATGTTCTGGTTAAGGTTTTTATGCCTGTAATTAATCTGCATACAGTAGAATTATGAACGATTTAGTTGTTTAAGTCCGACTATACTTAACTGAACAGCCATTTGTTTACATTTGAAACTTAGCAGAATAATAAATTAAGTTCCTGCACCTTCAGTGTCTTTTTGCTGAGTGGGACCAAAAGCAAACCAAAACTCCAAAAGCAAACCAAAAACTGAAAAATCTGCCTTCTTGCACTCTAGCCGAATTGTTTGTTTTTGCATAGAAACTCCAGTTTTAATTGTGAAAAATGCTTTTATTAACTGTATTAAAAAAAAATTACAATTAAAACTGGAGTTTTTATGCCTTTTTTTTTTTTTTAATTATTATTATTTTATTTAGGGGCCCACCTGCGGCTGAGCAGTAAAGTTGCTGAACACTGGTAGTTCGGTCCAAGGTTCGAATCCCAAGAACGGGCTGGCTGCATGGGCGTTTTCGTGTTTTCCCCATGTGTAACATGTATTCGAGCCACTTTCCCTTAGAAAGTCCTCCACAAAGGCATCCCTCCCCTTAGGCAAATAGCCCTCGAGGCTTTCCCATAAATACACATCACTCACTCACTCATCACGTTAACTGTATTTAGTGTTGTTTTCCTGTATTTTACATTTTTTTAATGAGGATGTTTTGAGTTTTTATGTATCTGCCTTGCCATGAAGTGAAAACTGAAGTAATTGAATGAATATATATCTCTAATGAAATTTGAGGAAATAAGTTTAGATGAAATGCAGCAAAAAATGTATATAATATAGAGTAGGCCATACAAGTAAATCATGTGGTATCCATATCAGAATTTTTAAAATATGTCCAACTATTATAAATGTAAAATATTCAGTGTTACTTGATAAATTTTACTATGTTGATTTTATTCTTAAATGTGTTCTATAATTGAGTTTATTAATGGTGCATCCTACTTATATATTTTATTCTTAGAATGGTATTACAAAGGTGAAGTTCAGGCATAGATAATATCGTTAGTTGAATTTATTCAGTTCCTATCTGCTGATAGGTCCTTAAATTTTTTCATTAATGGGCCTTAAAAGTACTTGTTGTTGGCCATGTGCAGGAATGTGTATGAAGCTTGCCCATACATGTCACATAATTTGTTTCTTGCTTGAACAGCATCCTTATCTGTGCATTAATAAAAAAAAAAAAAAAGCAGAGTATTCCAGAATTGCTGCTTTTAGTTTTCCATATTTTATGGGACCCCCCCCTAAAAAAAAGAAAGAAAAGAAAAAATTATGCAGGAGCAAACAAAGGTTTCATAGATCTGCCTTGAAATATCAGCTATCAAAATATATAAAAACAATATGCAACTAATCCTTCTAATAGTATAAACAAATTTTAAAAAATGAAATTACCCTTTGAACAACTCTACTGAACTTTCTAATTAGATTGGCTCCTGTTGTCTAATTAGCATTCTCCTCTTATTTATTTTAGTATATGAAGGGCAATTTTCTGCATATATATAGCTAAAACATAATCTTGCAGTAAACAAAATATTGGTTTCTGATAATCACTTGTATTTTAATGTGAAAGAACTACTGTTTTCTTGAAGCAGAAATGCCTGGAAATCTATAATAGCAGATTTTCAATAGTTTGAAGAAAAAAAAAAAAAAAAAAGAGTATTAAAAAAAAAGTTATTAAAATGTGTGTCTGTATCTAAAATTAAATTATTTTCTATAAGCTTTCTAGATTAACAGTTCGTTTTTTAAATTTGTTTGTAATAAAAGCTATTACATAAATTTCTGTAATATAAATAATGATATATGCTTTTGTGTTATGTATAGCAGTTGGCTATTATTTCATTTCTTGTTTGTGTTATCAATTGAAAAACTCTGCTCAAAATTTAATTTTCGTGTTAGCTATTGAGTGAGTTTACGTTTTACTTATGCTCACTATTGAGAGTGTTTAAGTTTTGGATAGCAGTAGTTTTCATTGCTAATTCAGTTGATGAAATTACATTTATATTTATACATTAAACATTATTTGAGATTTTCTTTTTAATTCTTTAGGCTGTTCATAACTCTACTCTCCTTCGAACATATAGCTTACTTGATGAACGTTGCCAAATTCTAGGATGTGCTTTCAAATACCTGGCTAAGGTAATATATATGATCATGGAAGTTCCATTATGAATCTTCTCATTTTGAATTCTCATTATAATACTTATATTCTAATTTCTTTTTTAGAAAGCTTATATTGCTGATACTGTTATCAAAACACTCTCTTCTTATTCATATATATTGATGGTTATTCATTATCTTCAACAAATAGAACCTCCAGTATTGCCTGTTTTGTCCATCCAAGATGAAAAGGTAAAGCATTGTTATAGGCTTTTCTAAACAATTCACTGGCTTCCTAAAGTTAAACATATAATAGTCACTAAACATTGGTATTTGATCTGGGTTGAAAAACCAGCTAACAGATTGTCTGCATGTGCATTTTCATGATTTTACCATGGATACAAGCCAATTTCCCTTAGAAAGTCCTCCATAAAGGCATTTGTCTTCTTAAGCAGAAAAATTGATTCAAAAATACTTTTGAATCCTTTTTGTTGCTCAATCATTTAGCTGTTTTTCCTTACTTTAATATTGTAATCAAAGATTTATTACTATTGCAAATCTAGGTAATTATTGTATGTGCATGTGATATGATTATTTTGGCTCTAACAATAAATCTGAAAAATGGGCTATCCAAATTTTAAATATTTGCCCACTCTATTTCCCTTTTAATGTATTTGTTACTTTAAAAGAAATGTAATAGGAAATCAATAATTAACAACCATACAAATTATACTAATTATCAACAATTAGCAACCATATTAATTAATGGCAGCAAACGTAATGGCTTACATAAAGCTAAATAACTGTAGTCAGCATAGCAGTTAAATTAGCATTAATTATCATTTAGCTACTAATTCACATTAAAATTTTGTGTTTTATAAGTTGTTTTATAGAAACCTTTTTAAGTGCTTCTATGCAAATATTTCACGAAAGTTGTATTATGTAGAAGTATTTTAAGTGTGTCTAATAATGTAAATGTACACTTTTGTATGTGAAATTAGAATTTTATTTCATTTCCTTAATCTTTATTTTCTTTCAATAGGTGTTTGAAGAAAATTTAGTCATACCCAGTGAAACTGCAAGGAAACACGATTGGCTATGTAAAGATATTCCATCATTGGTAAGTTTATTGAAAATCCTAAAGTTTGCATCCTGAGTTTTATACCAAACTGCTCCTTCCCTAGTGTTTAATAAATTATTGAAATTTTTTAAATAGACTTATTTTATGACATCCTCTATTGTATTAAAGGCATGTCTTATTTCACTTCCTCATTTGAAGAGAGCTTCTTCCCTCATAATTGCCTTTTCAATGTTGGGAAGGCTCAGTTATATCATGTCACTAAGTCTAGGCTATATGTCAGGTATTTCATCTTTTACGTATAGATTTCAAACAGTGCAGGCAGAATCACAGCAGCAATGTGCAGCCAGGCATTATGATGCTGCAAAAGCACTGTTTATTGAGCATAACTTCCTTCATATCTCCATCCACATAGTTTTTATGATATTTTATATAATAATCACTGTTATCTCTTTGCTTGTAGATGGGCAATATTAATGTCTCTAACTAAAGTGGATAACATGCCACAGAATATTTTCTCAATCACTGCATGTTGTTGTTTTCAATTGCATCATGATTATACATTTCATCATCAAATTCATACTGTAACATTTAAAGTGTTTCATTACAGTTGTTTTGAAGTTTAAAACACAAAAATCTTATTACATCTTTGTCTTATAGTTGTAGAGACACCTTCCTCAAACATTGTGATAAGAAATATTGGTACGTCCACTCATAGGACAAAATACTAAAAGCGTAATTCTTCTACTGCTGGCTGAACCTTCCAAAAATTCAAGACAGAATTACCATATCTAAATTCAGAAAGGAGAAACAGAAGCTATTCAAAACACTTTTGATCAGTCCTTGTAGAATGATTAGTAAAATTAACTTTTAGAGTTAATTTAAATGTCACAGCTCAAAAACATTTTAAATGCTGAGATATTGCAGTACAAAGTCCAAGATCTGGAATCATCAGGACTTCAGCAATTTCATATTTTAAATCATCAGTTTAAATTTAGTAGATGACATGTAGACATTTAGGGTTTCCTGTAGTGTTTAGGTTAGATAGAACATGGATGGCCAACCTTTTCAGCAATCGAGCCAGATTTTTAGAAATGAGATTTCCTGCTGTGCCGCACAACGAAATTTTTATTATTATTATTAAAGCAAGCAATATGTATGAGAAAATAAAACACTGAGAAATATGCATGTTTATTAGATTGGGGTTAGATTCCAAAAAACCAATAAATTTAGTGAGTTTTCTTTGGTAGATATAAGTACATCAATGTCGATATTAACTGAGGTTGTTGCTACATGCAAACAATTTTGCAAATTAGCATCAGTAATTCATGTTCTCACTTATAATTTGATATTCTTAATCCAGTTAAAAAGCTGTTTACAAATGTGTTTCCAAACAACATAATCATAAATAAAGCATGTTTATAAAATGCAGGATATTTCTCCTTGTCCAAATACATTTTATAGAAATCTTTCTAACCAACCTCGTGGAATTTCTCTTTTAACTGCATCAAATTTCATCCATTAATAACATTTCTGGCAATAACTTCACATCTATAGGGAGTGGTATTTGCAAATTCAACAAAAAATACACAATGCTTAATAAAATCTTGAAATCAGTTTTTGAATTCAAGGTTCAAGTCAATGAAGCTTATTTATCTGCAGCCACTTGTGTGACATCTGGTTGCAGTAACAATGTAGGAAAAGAAGTGAAGATTTTTATTCTTATTTATTGTTCCCAAATCCCAAGTTTCATTTGAAACATGGAAATCTTATCAAACATACCATTAATAAGTACCTATGTATACCAGTATTCACATAATATAAGTGGCCAGTTACATTAACCAGAAATGCAAAGTCACAAATACACGCCTTGTTTCAAGCTTATATACTTTTTGATTTGCATCTCAAGAATGGTTGTACTTCTTGCTTCAAACCAAACATTCTTTTTTAACATTTTGGCACAGGTTAACCAGCTTACTTACCATAAAATATGATGCTATTATACTCTGAATCCAAAGATTTGATAAATTCTTGAATCTGGCAGTGACTTCATGAAGTTCATTGTTTCAACTACCACCTTCATGGCAAAGTCCATTTTAAAAGACCTAGATTAAAAATTTTCTTGAGTAATGCAATGAAATTTTAACATCTAAGTATTATCAACTTTGAAGGTTTCATTTTCAATCAGTTTTACTAAACCTTCATGTTTCTGTTACCATTACTGGTGCACTACCTGTGTTAACCTTATTAGGTTGCTGAGTTCTAATAATATGAAGCAATCCAGTGTTGATGTAACACTACTCCTAATAAATCTCATAAACAAGTATTGTCCTCAAGTGGATATAGTGCTGATAATTCTTCTGTTATGTTAAAGTAGACATCAATACCCTCATAAAAGTCAACCACTGCATGTCCTTGTGAGGGTGCCACAAATTGACTGACGCTCAGTTAGGATTGGTGGATGATGAAATGTTCTTTATTGGTTATATGATGGTTGTTTTATATACAATGTATGTGTAGATTAAAACTTTTTTTTAATATGATCCACCATTTTTTTCAGTATGATATATTATATGAAATATTATATTTTACTAGCAAACATCCATTTATAGTTCAATCACAATATTTAATATGATCTAATATGACACCTAACAGCCGCATGTTGGACATTCATGAGCTAAAAGAGAATGTTAACCTCTCAGGGTTGGCGCAGAGTCAATGCAAACATACATAGTGGTAGAGCTTAGGGGTGGCAAAGGTTTTATAATTTAGAGGAGCACTGAGTAGCAGTGGAGTGATTCCCTGGCCAGCAGGTGTTTGAAAGTGACATGCAGGAATCTCAGTTGCTCAGAAGAAAAATCACATTTGCCACAGCCTGCTTCCATTTGTTGAATATTATATTCTCCAATCCTAAATTTTGTAAGAGGGAGGAGGAGTTTTTTTTTTATTATTATTTAATTAATTATTTTTGGCTGGAAACTCAAAATTGTAGGTATTTGGTATCGAGATTTTGGACTTTTTGCTGCATTAGCATTGTATTATATTAGGAAAAAGGTGTTTTTTTAGATATTATATGAAATATTATATTTTACTAGCAAACATCCATTTATAGTTAATCAGAATATTTAATTTTTAAAATACTTGGAATATTAACATTTGTTAAATAATAGCAGCATGTTTTAAAATGGGAAATAAGCTAAAAAGAAGAGCTCCAGATAGAAAATGAGATTAAATTGCAAGCACAGGTTGAAGAACAAATAAAAAAATGAGAGACCTCACTCACTATTTGGCCAACAATGTGGAAACAATGTACCATATATTCCGGCATATAATATGCACTTTTAAAACACTAAAAATGTAATCAAAATTTATGGATGTGCATTATATGCTGGATATAAAAATGATAGCTTAAAAATATGGAAAAATCAGCATACAAAAGTTACATTTTTCACATGTACTTATGCCTTTTATCATTAGCAGATAACATGAAAAGTTTGCCATGTTCGCCTTCCATTATATCTTCAGGCACTTCATCAATTTCTCTTTTATCTTCACCATCACTGTTACTCTAATTCATAAATAAAAAATCATCATCCGTTTCCATTTTCTTTCGCAATCTAAATGGCTTTGCATTTGAAACTAGCACTGTGTTGTTTCATTTGGCAGGAGCCATATTTACTACTAAAAGAAATGTGAGATCAATTATATTTCAACTAAAACCTTTGATGTTCACCTCAAAATCATAGTTTCAAATGACTACAGAAATAGAAAACATCTGAATCATAATTCTGTGAATTCTTTCATGTTGGAAGTATAACATTAGTACTCCAAATTATATCCCCCTTTTCTCAAAATCTTACAATATCATTCTTTTGGACACTTGCGCTGAATACAGTGCACCTTCTTTTCAGGTATATTTACTCCTTTAAGTATTTAACTCACACACATATTGTTCCCCTTACCACTTGTCAGTTTGGTATACCATTGTTCAAAAGGCTACGACAAATCTTTGAGTAATTTGCCTCATAAGAGCATTGCACATGTATCTTTTAGATTTCTTCTGAGTGCACATTATACAGCAAATATACTTAAAAATTTAAAAATACAACTCAAATTATAGATGTTTGTTATACGCCGGAAAATACGGTAATGTATTTTGAACCGTCTGGAAAGCTGGTTCTACATTACAGTTACTGCTTTATTTTATATAGTTACACTTGACTGTATATTTTAATAATAGCCATCCAGATTCCACTGTCACCTGTATATTTTAATATGATAGAACATTTAATTCCCTAACCAGCATGTAATTATTTGCCCAATGAGAAATGTGATCCTGGTCAATGTTAACAAAGTTCATGAGAAGAAATATAGTTTTTAAACTTTTATGTACTGAGATAATTATACAAATAATATTTAAGCTGCAAATGATTATTGTGGTATTTTTATCAGTTCATATGTTCAAGTCATAATTAGAAAAGTAAAATAAAAGGAACTTATAAAATTCACTTGTTACTTAATTGCTAGTTTCTAATTAATCTGAATTTTATGGAACATTTCTTTCAAGAAAAGGCAAGGTGCAAATCATTGTTATAATAAAACAAGTATTTGTATTGAATTGTACTATATACAAAAGTAAACATAGTTACACCTTCCATTATTCATTTCCAGAATTGAATTTTATTCTTTATTCTTATTACTATTTGTATATTAAAAAAGCCACCCAGACGGTATAGTGGTTAGGGAAGTCTACTGTGATACCAGAGGACCAGGATTTGAATCCCGGAGAAGGCAGGGATGTTTGTAAATGTATAGGGTCTGTGTGTCGTGGGGGCACTAAGTTTGTGACAAGCAAAAGTCTTCTTGAGAGGATGATGATAAGGGAAGGGGGAGACTTTTGGACACATCCCTCTGGGGTGCTCTCCATCAAAATTGGGGGTGGAACTGAGTGAAGTCGTACTGTCGTCTGTATGGTGTTCAAGGCTTTTACCAACAACAAGCGCAATCTTCCACTTCTTGCCATGATGAATTTTGTAAGCTTGATTTGATGTTATTGTCAGATAAGTGAGATAAGTCACACACGTACACATGTATTAAAAAACTTATTTTAATTTTTGCATTTTTTTGCAGAAAAGTATATACAATAAAGGATCAAGAAATGAATTGACTGCTGGTCAGTTATGGCTTGGACTTTTAAAGTTTTATCTTGAAGTTAACAGTGATTATGTGATAAGTATTAAGCAAAAAGAAGCAGTACCTGTTTCATCATTGCCAAGATCTGCTGCCTTGTATAACATTCAAGGTATTTGATGTATTTTTTTAATGTTCATTTATTCTGTATATTTCATTAAGAGTGTCCATGTATTCAGTGTATTTCATTAGGCTGTGGTTAGTGAATTATTTTTACTCGTAATAGGTGAACTATCAGATCTTTATTGCTTTCTGTCTTTTTGCTTTGAAAATTAGGTTATTTCTTTATTACTCACAATCAACTTAGGACTGGCCTTTTTAATGTTAATATGAAGATGTACTTTTTTCTTACCCAATTTCAAATTTTTATTTATAGATTTAGCATAATATATTTTCACCATTGGAATTGTCTCTTATCTTCGTTTTTGCATTTAAAGTAGAGTTTACCTCTTCACTTTTAACGTATCATACAGAATATTCTTCAATTTCTTTCCATGGGCTCATCATTTAAGATGTGATGCAGGATCGAAGTGTCACTGGCATATCCCATTATATCATATTTGATGTGCTTTAAACAGAATGTTTTATTTGATATCTTAAACATGCATAAATGATGTCAGAATACTTAATTCATTTGTGAAACTTAATTCAATAGAATGTTTCGATTATTAACCTTGCTGTTAAGTCTACTTACTACTATGTTTTACTAACAAATAGCTATGTTTCCAAGTTTAGAGATGTTTCATGCAATGCTTGTGGCTTAAAATTTGTATATAAATATGACAATAGGATTTAATAGGCAAAGATATTTAAATTCTTAATTTTGTTTACTTCATTGCAGTATGACCTGTGGGGCCATGGTGGATTTATGACTTGCGGTTGTGTGATGCTTTCGATGTTTTTAGTGGAGGCTTGTTTGTGGTTTGAATCAGAAGCATGTTGCAAGAGGCTGCTTGGCTTCGGAACAGAACTTGAGTCCATTTCTTGTGAGTGGTATCCTCTATCAATAGGGCAAAAGAGGTGTTATGCACTAGATTCAAGAATTCTGATGGCTTCCCCGATGCCATACACCCTTCTTCAGCATCTGTATGCTAACAAGAAAGGAGGACTTGCGCAATGTTTTTTTTTTTTTTTTTTTTGAGCCCATGCGACAATGGGATTGATCGTTGCATTGGTGTGTTGTTCAGCTCTGTTCATTGGGCGTAGCTAGTTGGGCCCATTGAACACTTAAGAAGCAAGATGCTGTGGGTGGCATGAGTGTGACGCAGTTCATCAGTTTTTCCTCAGGTGGAGGAGATGCATGCTCCTGTCACATCTGAGAGGACACCACTGTGGTACCTGTGGGGCCTAGTTCATTTATGGCTGCCAGTTGTGCTTTCAGTGTTTTTAACAGAGGCTAGCTCTTGACGATATCTGTGAGTTGAAACAGAAGCCTAGTTGGCTTTGGGGACAGACCTTGAGTCTGTTTTACCTGAGCAGAATCCTCTACCACTAGGACAAAAGAGCTCTTATGTGCTAGATTGAAGAAATCTGACTCTTTCAAATTTATAAGCTTTGAATAGTTCCTCGGACACCATAGAAGTAATTTAAATATATTATCATTATTACTTATATTGTACTTAATTGATTTTTAAATTTTAATTATAATTATTAGGATTTTATATTACAAAAATTATGTTTAATTAGTATGTTGCAAATATGTGAAGCAGTTAATTGCAAAGCTGTTTTGGATATACAATGATATTCTGCACTCCTCCATCACAGGCCTATTGGGAAACTTCAATCTGCCTATTGCAGGTGCAAAGGGGTTAGGGTTCTTATTGTAATCTCATGTGTAATTAGCTTCAACTTATTCTAGCATTATTTAATAGGAAATATAATTTGCTTACTATGAAGCAAATGAAAAATGTCATTTAACAGGTATAATCATAGATAAATTTGCAATGTATATGTTACAAGCAAAGTATGAAATCCGGCATTCTATAGAATGCCTAGGCATTGTATATAATACCTAAAACTAGCTGCCAGTGTATGAAACGATTCATATTTCACACATTTCCTAGGCATTCTATAGAAACCGGCAAAGTATAAAACAAATTTCCAATTTGTTTCGAAGAACCGAAACTACTTACCAGAAGTTAATAAATAATGTAAAAAGGCCAAAATGGCTACTAAGAAGAAACCATGGGACTACTGACCGCCTAACCGCTAGGTTGTGATGTTTGTAGTAAGCAAAAGTACATTCATTTATGCTGTTAAAGATAGCATCAGTACTATGCAGTATTGCGTCTTGGACGCTGAGTTATTTTCCGTATTTGATGAAAACTTATTTGAGTACTGCACAGGTACGATGTGGCAGAATGTCGAAAGAACTTTCAATCACTTAAAAAAGGCATTGCACGTAATGATATTGAACTTTAACAACCATATTTGTGAGCCCTGCCAGAAAAAACAAAAAGGTATTAAAAAGGGCACTAATGTGAAACTTATGATTGTTTCTGAATTTAACTTCAGTTGTGTTGTCAAGTAGATCTTACCATTTCCCAGTCTCAGCCAGATAGAAAATACAAATTTATTACACTGTATTGAGATTGCCTCACTATCTTTCTTTTTACATATTTTGAAGACAGTTTTTTAATGGCACTCTATCATTGATTTTTCAAAATAACATTTGTATTTTGGAGAAATGAACATCTTTTAAATAATAGCCTTATCATAACCCTTTTATTTTTCATACTTTGTCTAAAGAGCATTTGTCATTCTATACAGGGTGATTCTAAATTGTTTTTACAAATTAAGAGGGGTAATAGTACTCATCCAGATGAGCAATAATTACCATAGAACATAGGATCACGTTCCACTCTGAGAGGCAGAAAAGAGGAATATTATAATTCCAACCTGGGCTTACAACAGTATTAGGAGAGTGAACAAATGAGACTAAAAGTTGCACAATAAGTTTAGTAAAAACCTCACAGAGAGTGCACAAAATGGATAAAATTGAAAACTTGGCATTTGAGTGTTAATTTTAGCTCAGACTTTGGTGGCAAACACTCAAATGCACATCTTTGGTTCGTAAGGTCTCAGTCTAGCAAATGATTGCAACAAATTAATTATCTAATCAAGAGCTGAATATTATCAACTAACTCCAACTTCCACTGTATGCCGAGATTAACATGAAAAGTTCATGCTGTGTTCCGGCTGTCAGAATTTGTGTCCCATAGAAGGGCACTTCAAGTATAATGAGCGTAGCACAGTAAGTCTAGGAGGAGAGGATAGAAGATGGCGAACGATGGAAAAAACTGCTACCTTAATACTTGTTATCAGTATCAAGTAGTTTTCCCCCAATAGATAATTTCCCCCTTATAATTTAGATAACTAACTTGTTGCTATTGTTTGTGAGGTTGAGACCTTGCCAACCAAAGATGTGCATTTGAATGTTTGCCATCAAAGTCTGAGCTCGAATTAACATTCGAACGCCAAGTTTTCGGTTTTATCCATTTTGTGCACTCTCTGTGAGGTTTTCACTAATCTCATTGTGCAACTTTTGGTCTCATTCATTCGCTCTCCCAATACTGCTGTAAGTTCAGGTTGGAATTCTAATATTCCTCTTTTCTGCCTCTCAGTCGAATACGACCCTGTGTTCCACGGTAATTATTGCTAATCTGGATGAGCACTATCACACCTTTTAATTTGTAAAAACAATTTAGAATCACCCTGTAGAATGCTTAGGTAAAGCATGTAATAATTCTCGTATTTCATATGCCTCGGCATTCTGTAGAATGCCAGCGTTTCATACTTTGCCGGTAACATATATAATTTCCATTGCTGCAGATTAGATGAATTCTTTACGATATATTTCATCCCCGCTTATATTATTACAGAACGTATAGTCAAAGAAATATAATATGACTAAATTTTTAGTGCAGTGTTGTAGCATTCTTATTGGAGGAAGTAATGATGCAATGATTTTTATGTAATTGGTATAATTTAAATATTCATAATTAAGATTATATAGTTATGATTGACTATTTGTATTTTGTTAATCACTTATGTAGTAAAATTAAAAGTTTGCTTTATGGTAATATTTGTTTTGTTATCTATTACTGCTTAATACCTGATGAAATGAAAATGAAATATTAAAACATATTTGTGATTTAAAAATATTTACTTGATACTTTTAACTGTTAAGTTATCATTTGTCATATTTATATTTATAATTTAGATTTTACATCACAGATAGATAAACATTTATGTTTTTACAAGAAATTGTTTTCCTTTTGTTTTTATAGATCCATTCTTAGTGAAAAATTTAGGCTGTATTGTTTCTCAGATGAGTAAGTTTTATTCTTCATGTGTCTGTTAAGCATTATCTTCCATACATTTGATATTTTTTCTAATAATAGTATTTAACTGATTTTGTATTTTGCTAAAACCACTTGAGATTACAGATTTTTTGTGCAATTAATGTAAAATAATTTGCGTCAAAATGAATATTTTTTTTTAATTAGGAAGTTTTAGTGATTATCAGGAGCTTTGATAAGCTTCACATTTTACTTGACTGACAGTTCAGTATGCTTTTCTTTCATCTAGGCAGCTATTAAAGTCATTTCACAAAACTTTATCACAAGACAAAATAGCTCAAAGTTGCAGTTGGTGAAATAAATATTTCTTAGCGACTGATCAAAGAATTACAGTAGGAGACTAGATGTTTACACAGTTTGGGACTTAACATTGCACAGATTTTAGAGATTTGTGAATTTTAGATCATAAATGGAAAATTCATTTTGATTTACTTTTAGAAATTTAAGAACAAATTAGAATAAATTTTTTAAATGCACATAAAAGCAATTAATTTTTGTTTACTTTTTTATGGAGATCTATAAAATAAATATTTAAAAATAAACAAACATATAAAAAATAATTTGTGACATTTTTTTTAAAACATCTGTAGATAGTAGTTTGTTTTAAAACACTAAGATGCTTTGGTTATATGTTTAAGATTTTTCTTAATTCATTTTTCTATATGCATATATATATAGGTATATCCACACATACTTGCTCATATATACAGTGGTGGCCAAAATTGTGGACACTTTTGGAAATTTTTATGTTTTTGAACTTTGTATGCTTATAGAAAATGTTACATTTCGCAAAATGCAAACTTGTATATATCATTTTAAAGAGAATTTATTACTGAATTCAATACAAAGCACAAAATTCAATTATTTACAATACAAAAAAAGTTATATGTACTTTAATATAAATAAAAAACACAGTTATGAAGTGGTTTGTAATGTCTAGCTTTCCTGGCCAATCACTGTTCTTGTTCTGAGAACCAATCAAGTGTTAGTAAGTGCCAGTAGAAGCTGACATCATGTTTACACTTGAAACAATTCATTATTTTGCTTTGTTCTGTAGAAGGAGGACCTGTTTCTTATACACTGCAATTACAAGTAGGAATTTGTGTAAAAATTTTTAATAGTTAGTCAAGAAGCAATGACATCAAATAAAAGAGTAGATTGGACACCTAGAAAGAGATGTAATATTATTGCGTTACAAGAAAGTGGTCTTTCCTATGCTGAAATTGCAAGACAGGTGGGTGGTTCAGTGACTACATCTGGAGTCGGAAAGTTTTGTTTACGATATCAGGAGACAAATTCAATAAAAAACAAGGAAGGAAAAGGCCGAAAAAGGTGCACCACATCTATTGATGACAGAAGAATAAAAAGACTATGTCTCCAAGATAGAAAAATGTCATCAGCGGCCATCAGAAGTGATCTGAATGATGCTGGTGTTTCTGTCAGTTCAAGAACAATCAGGAGAGAATTAACAGATGTTGGACTGAGAGGTAGAATTCCACGAAAAAGGCCTTATCTTAATTTTCAGCAACGAAAAAAAAAAAAAACTACAGTGGGCAAAGAAACACTTTAATTGGACAGATGATCAGTGGTCACAAGTTATATGGAGTGATGAAACTAAGGTATCATTATTCGGTAGTGATGGGCGAAAATATGTAAGACATAGAATAGGAGAAGATCTACATCCTGACTGCATTCAAGCAACTGTGAAGAACCCAGTTAGTGTTATGATTTGGTCATGCATGTCAGCAGATGGTATTGGTCACCTTCATGTCATCGATGACACTGAATGCCAGAAAGTACATTGACACTATTCTGGAACCAAAACTTCTACCTTCCATCAGAGATTTCTTTCCCAACAAATGCTTCGTTTATTTTTCAGCAGGATTCTGCTCTTTGCCACATGGCCAAAATATCGAAAGAGTGGTTTCGTACAAAGAGCATTAAATTTTTGTCATGGCCAGGAAACAGTCCTGATCTCAATCCTTTCGAAAATTTGTGGCACCGTTTGAAAACTCTTGTCCAAATGAGGCGCCCATCAAATGAAAGGGAACTAATTGAGGCTATAATTGTTTCCTGGCATCATGTAATAACGCAAGAAGAGCTTAAAACTCTTGTCAGCTCAATGAAACGTCGATGTGAAGCTGTAATCAAAAATAAAGGGTACCCTACTAAGTACTGCTAACTCACTGCAATCATCACTATCTAATGTATATCGATAATTATTATTGTTTAACTTTTTTTGTATTGCAAATAATTGAATTTTGTGTTTTATATTGAATTCAGTAATAAATTCTCTTCAAATGATATATACTAGTTTGCATTTTGTGAAATGTAACGTTTTCTGTAAGCATACAAAGTTCAAACACATAAAAATTTCCAAAAGTGTCCACAATTTTGGCAACCACTGTATACACACACTAACCATATACACCAATTTTTACGAAAATCTGTGTATTTTTTACAATTTTACTGTTCAAGACTTTTACAAATTTTGCATTATTTTTGTAAGGATGTTAAAAATCATTTCATTTCGTTAATTTTTTGCCAAATCTATTTTTAGCATACATTTTTGTAAGACTTTAAAATTACCATCAGATCAAACGAGGAAAAGCTGTGACCATACCATCAAATTTTGGATTACTATTCTTCAGCACATTATGCCCTTTTAAAGTCATTAAAATGCCAACCGTAAATAACAAAGAATGAAAGTAATGAAAAACTCTACATATCTTCCCTTTCCCTGGAAAAAGTAGATTTATCTCTGAGGAATGGACCTTCTCATCAAGTTTAGGATTTTACATTTTCCTGCTGAGATCTGAGAGTGTGCATAAATTTCTGTCTTCTGTTTTATAATAGATATGCAGAGCATTTTGCATTAGATGAGATTGGGAAGGTCTGAAAAAGGTTGTAAAATATAGTCAGAATTGGAGTCACTGTTAAGTAGTTTTTCTTGAGTCTGAAATATCAGATTGGCCAGAGATGACATGGAATTATGGAAGTTTTCTTATAATAAAAATGCATCTCTGTCGAACTAGAAATTAAAATTTATTGGGATATAAAGATAAAGAAATGCTTTTAATTTCAATTTGATGTATAAATATAACATATTTAGTTTTTATATTTAAAAATATTTCTAAAATCTGTGTACTGCTTGAGAAATCCAGAGTTGCGTTTATTAATATTATTATTTTCATTTATTTCAATCAAGGTATGGTATTCAGTTGGGGAAAATTTTACTATTTGCATATTCTATACCTGCTCCTTATCAAAAAAGGTTAAAACATTGGGTGGAAAATGTTCTCTCTAGTTTTTTTATCGTTGTTAATCTCTAGTTTAATATTTTTTGTAGGATATTATTTGTTGAATTATAATGTGGTGATGATGAGAATTTTGCATTGTGTGAAACTTGGTTGCTTACCAAATGAGCATATGTGCTATAAGCCAAACTACCTGCAAACATACCAGTCAAGTTAATCAATTTATCCATCGTTCTATCTTTTCATGTTATTTTTATTCCTCACATGTCATAGGTTGACATATCCTGTTCATTGGTTCTGTTAAGCTCAAGGAAAGAACCCATTAAAGTTTATGTTTAACTTAAAACTCACATGCTCTTTTGGTCAGGAACCAAGTTTTACACTACACCAAAACTCTCATTATCACCAAATTAAAATTCAACCTATTTTGATGTTGGCAGAATAAATAGTTTTATAATCCTGAGCATGCGAAAAAATGAAATTAAGAATAGATTATTTATATGCAAAATAAGTATGATGTATCAGATTTTAAATAATTGCTGTTACATTGATTTTAAACTGATTATAACTAAACTCTGCAGTGAAGTCATGTGACAAGAATTTGGAATACCATATTTAGTCATATTCCTGCTTTTTTTTACTAATTTTATCCCATGAAGATCGAAGAGAAAATAATACAAATAATTTGATTTCAAACAATGTGATTATAATAACATAACAAATGAAAAGTAATCATGGGTAAACTACTGGTAGTTATCATAATATTAAAAAAGAAACCTACATTCTAATAAGAATACCTAGTAATTTCAGCATTACAGTATCTAATAAAATCTTGTCTTCTACTTCCTTGTATCTTGAATCTCACTCAGTCTTCTTTTCCACTACAACTCTGTACATCTTAAATCATTTAACAGGGTTGCCATGCTACCTGGAAAACCAGAAAAAGTCAGGGAATTTAAATATTGGTACTTGCATACTATGATGACTACCTTGGCAACATTTGCCGATAAAAATCTGTATTGGCATTTTTTGGTTTATGTTTATAAATTCTTTTAAAAATAAAAGCCCTAATTATAAAGGAACAAAAACTTTAAAACTAAAAATCCTGAATATAATATATATATATATATATATATATAAATGATATACTAAATACGAATTAAAAAAATTTAAATTGGTTAAAAGAAAATGTTAATGTTGAGGAAAGTGGCGGGAAATAGCTTTCAAAATAGGATCAAAAGGCATTTCCTGTTTTTTTCGCCAAATAAATTCAGCTAAATAGGTATCCAAGTGATGGCAGCTTGTCCCACGTTGTCACCTGTTCCACCATTTTGCGAAATCCCACATCCTTTCAACATGTTGAGTATGAGTCTGCGTAGATGGGCCAACAAAATTGTATCGATGATTCACCTTAAAATATTCAAAACCGCCAGCAGTGAGCTCCTCTGTTTGATATCCAGGCAACGAAGCTGATATTATTGTTGAGCCTTTAGCAACATATTTTTAGATTTCATGCATTAATTTTTGTTGCCTTCCGGTCTGGAACTCTGACTAGAAATGTTTCTTTTGTCTCCCGGCCAATTCCACCGAAGACCCACTGTTGTGGCAAGATACAACCTTGATTATTCTTTCGACATGTAAAAAGGCTAAAATGCTTTCGTCAGTTTTGACAATCATTCCAGGCCCCCCAATTTTAATATTTTGATTATCCTCCAACTCTTTCGCACACACTTCACATGTATAACAGTCTTATCAGATAAATCCAACTGATGTTTGCACCATTTAATGGAAGACTGTTCATATGCCCAAAAGTAAATAAATCTTAAAGCTTTTACAATTTCAATACAACTGTTTTCAAACCATGTACCAGTTCAGACCTCAAACATTTGTTGACAATTTTTGACATTGCATCTCTAATAAAATCCTGAATTATAAAATTTCATATCATGGCCATTTTTACAAACGTGTTCTTTGGGTGAAATTTCAGCCTCTCCGAAAAATTCAGTTGCTTCTTCTTCATTTGAAGGAAGTTGGAAAATGTTGATATACATTGGGAAGAAGTAATTGGAAAAAGTTTCATATGTTTAACCTTAAACGTAATAATCCATGTAAATGTAGCAAAAAAAATCTGTGGTAATAGCAGGTGCAGAATAATACTCTTTATTTTAGCACCCTCCATAACCTATGTTAGGGTTAACATGTATAACCTACAAGGGTCGCCAGTTTTGGCGAGATATCTAGGTAGTCATCATAGTACGTAAGTACCTAAATATTTTAGTCAAAATTTGGAAAAGTCAGGGAATTTTATACAGCCATCCCCCCAAGAAAGCAGGTTTTGCACCGACATTGGAAGCGATCACTTTCTTGGCAAAATGTGTATCACATTAACATCATTCTTTCAGCTGTCATAGAGCCAGTTTTTGCATCTCCAATTAAATCGTCTTTTAGAAAAGCAAAGCAAGTTTCCAGTAACCTCACGAATTGCATGTGCATGTTGAAATAAACAAAATACTTATTCTCGTATAAAACAAAATTAGTTTAATCCTAGTGCCTGGTACCACGGAGGTTATAATCAAAGAATATGCATTGTTAAGAAGGAAAACTTCTTTGCAACAGGAGTGGCTCCATTCCAAAGTAGAAGGAAATAGCTGCGCATGTGCGAAATGTATGTCGCCAAAGCTCTAAGCCTGTGTCGAAGTTTGTAGGTCATGTTATCAAGAGTTCATAAAATGAATACCATTTAAAATTTCTTTAAACTTTAAAGGAAAAGAAAATATTTTTTCGTGCAAGTAAATTAATTAATGGATCAGTTATTTTGAGGGGGAAAAAACTACTAAAATCCGTGTTTAAATTATGGCGAAAAATCAAAGAAGAAACGTTTTGTCAAAGAAAATTTCTTCTTAACCTAAATTTCCTGTACACATCGGGGAGAGGGAAATTCTGGCCGCCAGGTTCCGTCGCAAATACCTTGGTGAATTTTCCCTCCACTTTCTAGCGGCGTAATAGCATGTCTATGGAACCTTTCCTTCTTTACATAGACATTCTTTGCTTAGAATAACCTCCATGTTTTCTATTCTAACCTCCACGATGTACGCATTAGATTTGGCGACATTATGATGAGTGGTAAACGGGTCATTTTGGTGTTGGCAACAATTTTCAAAATCGTGCCAAGGCCTTAGTGTATACTAGGATTTTACTGCAAAATGTTTTAAACTTTTTTTTTTTTTTTTTTTTTTAATAAATGCCTTATTTGTCATTTTGCAGTAAAATTTAAAAAAAAAAAAATAGTAATCAGTCAATCTAGGCTAACCATTTAATATAACTAACTCACTAAAATATCGTTGATTATTCTAATTCAAGTTTTAAGTAATTATCTTTATTTTTATGTTATTCGTATCATTTAATGTTGCTTCTTCCCTATAAATTTATTTATTATTAATAAATAATACTTTCAAATTTCAGGAAATTTTCTCTGGCATAATCCTGAAATTAATTCTAACTGTATGATGACATACCATCATGAAATTTAATGCACATATTTTTTGCTTATGTATGCTGCTAAATAAATATAAAATACCTGAATTTATTCAAAAGTATCATTCAATAGATTTCTTTCTTTCGTTTCGCTGCAAAATGTCTGCGAAAGAATACATTTTTTAATCCAGATCGGGCAGATTCTAATCTCCATCTTTCAGTGGAGAAAACAACTATTATATTTATAATACTAGAAATGCTTTGGGGATTATATATGTGTATAAATCATATGTAATTGGCAAATTTTTGTGTTTTCAAGTAATACCATAATTAATTTACCTCTTAGCACAACCAATGTGCATTACTTGGATAGATTGGAATTTTCTTAAAACACACCTGGAAAAGTCAGGGAATTTCATTCTCCTGTTTGAGTGGCAACCCTGATTTAATGCTGCAGGACCTTCTATAGTCTGCTTCAGCTTGCAAGTTGTCAGTGTTGTCATCGTCTTTGTTACCATTCAGTCTGTCTTTCTACATGCAGTGATTTGCAGAACCATTAAGAATATTAGATATTGCTGTTTTCTTGAAGCTCTTTGCTATTATTGCTTTATCAGTCAGAGTCTCTGCACCCAAAATCCATCGGCAAATCAGTTAGTAACATGAAAACATTTCATGTAACATTACATGTGAATACCTGAAAATTTTTAAGACCTTTTTATTAAAATGCTTTGGGAAAGTATGTGAATAAATTCTATGTTTCATTTGGAATTTAATAATTGCAAGCTATGCCAGATGCTTTTCATCCCTAGGTTTTCATAGAATTTAGTTTGCTTTGTATTTCTTATAAATTTAGTTGCTTATCATGTAAAATTCTATTAATTTTAGGGATTTTGCTTATTTTGGATCACCTATAATTTGAAGTAATACATAATGTTAATGTTAAATGTTAACCATTATGTTATGTAAATGCGGTGTTATAAGGTTTAACGAAAGCATGCTGAATTTTAACAAATTTTATCAAATTTTAAATATTAATATAAAATATATTTATTTATTTATATGTGAAGTTTATTTTGTGTGTTTTCAGAGGCTTCAGTTATTTGGAATACTTTGAATAGAGCAAGATCATTATTCGGGAAAGAAATTTCTTGTTCTCGTAAAGATTTAAAAGTGAGTGTTACATGTACATAGTTAATTTGGATTGCTTCAAATGCAGTGGCTGATAAAAGACAATACTTTCTTCACTGAAGAAAGATAAAATTGTGATAAATGCAAATTTATGATGATAAAAGAGGTAAATTTACATACACATGATATCTTTATCCGCATAAATTTTGCATGATTGATGTAATACCAGCAGCTGCTGCCTTCAGTGAGCATAATAGGAAAAACCTTGACACACAGCCTAAAAAATCCATTTGGATGTACCGCTGCTAAACAAGCCTTTTGACATTGGATTGTGAAGCTTAAATTTGGATATTCGAGTTTCCAGAATGAACCTAATAGCTATTCCCATTTTATTAGTTTATCGTAAAAAAATAAAAGATCTTATTGAACTGGATTTATCCCAAATACTGTGGAGTATCATATTTGAGTGTATAGCATTCAGTTATTTCAGACATTTAATAATCACAGGTAAGCTAAGGAAGATAAATTTCTGAATATGCTTTGCAACATGATGCATCAAAATAAGGCAACATAATTTCAAGTGTGTTCTTTACATTTGAATTGAAAATTTTTTTCTGCTAAATGTATGATCAATACCAATACCTACTAATATCTGATCTCACTTAAAATCGAAACAGTTTTATTCAAAATCTATGGAAATTTTATTTTTTTTTAAATCTAACTCTACATTGTCATGTGTATCTCTTACATAAAAAAGAATATTATAATATTACTTGTGCAAGAATTGTATAATAATACTTGAGAAATTTTTCAGTCAGTGATGTCGTAATTTTTTTCAGGGGGGGGCTATTGTAAACTTATTGAACTAAAATTGAAAAGAACTAAATAGGTATGCCCTGTTTAATAATTACATTTCATACAAAGATTACTTAGCAAAATTTTTAATAATTTTAATAGCTAGAAGAAACTACACTTCTGGACATATATAAATAACTATCCTTATCTCTTGCAACCTTGACCATGGGCTTGTCATGGCTGAAATATTTATTTATATGTTCATAATTATTATTAGTGCTACTACTAATTGTTTAGGTAATGTTTTTTTAGTAAACATATAAGTGCAAAGTTCTGTAGCCCACAATACTGAATGTCAATATTAAGCATATTGACCATAAAAGGTAAAATTGTAGTAAAGTAAAAGTGCTAAACAGATCAAGTATTAGGAAAGTATTATTTTCAATAATTACAGTTTATATTACTTTATTTTTACATTAAATAAGATGTTTTATTATTAACTCCAAATTACACAAATCATTTTGATTCTAAAAGAAAAATTTATTTTAATTATTTATATGTTGCATGTCTCGAATTATAAACACATATATGAAAAAACAAAATAATAAATTAAAGTCAAATCACACTGCAATGAACTTCAAGGGTTTGGAAAATTGGTTCACAGTTTCTGATGTGATGAAAAAATGGATTATCTTGCAAAAATATGTAAAAATTGAAAAAGAAAAACTGATTAACATTGTCATATCTACCAAAAGAAATGAATAATTAATTTTAAAAGTATAATTAAGGATTTTATTGCAATTCTTATTAAGCTCAGTTATTAAAATTGTCCATTTTCTTCCATTCTCTTCAAAAGGTTTGGTAAATTCATTTGCCTTCATCTTAAGCATTTGTCTAGATTTTGAGGGTTATGGCTTCTTTAAATGATGAACCATTTCAGAAATACTTCTTCAACATCTCTATCTGGATATTTCTCAACTTTGTATTTGCACTCAAATTTTCCTCCAAACAGAAATTATGCATTTTTTATTTTATTTATGCTATCAGTTGTAAAATTCGATAAAATGTTTCTGGCAGTTATGAATTTGACTGCTTCCGTTTTTGTAATTTTTTATTAATATTCACCAGTATCTTCAGTGCAGAAGTTTATATTTACAGCTCGCTATGCTGATGTATTTTTGATGATAAAACAGAATGCAGAGAGTTTTGTAAAAGAATATGTAAGGGTTTTGCTGTTCTGAAAAATATGAAAAAGAAAAATTATCTTTTAACTCATGTATCTTATCCAGTGTTCTTGAGAACACAGTCCTTTCTCCCAAAATATGTATGATTGTGAAACAAGGATTTGATAACCTTTTTAAAGAATATCTCACAAAAGGCCTAAAGAATGTCAAAGACCAATTCAGAGGGTAGGACTTAAAGAGCATATATATTCAAGCAAAACAAACCGATAAGGATCAAAACTTTCCATTCCCTAAAATAAGAATCAACTGAAAAACTTCAACCATATAACATTCACTCTTTATCTGAGTAGCAAAACTTTCAAAATTTGTCATAACATCAGACTTGAATAAAGTTCTATCTGGCAGATCGGAAAAAGCATTTTGAATCAATCAGAGACCCTGGTCCTGTACACCAAGAATGTCCTAAGATATGCTTATTGTATTCTCATTCTCCAAGGGTTGCATGTCACACCTATCTCGCTTAGCCTCACTTAGAACACAGAGCAAAGTCGGATTGAAGATAAAAGAAAAATGGCATAAAGGTAAAGGTATTTTTGTTAATGCTTCTGGAATGAGAAATGTGTTTCGTAATTTCTTAAGTGCAAATGATTTTCATATAGTAATTGTTTCAATGAAATTTCATAGTAATTGTTTCAATGAAACTTGGCAGAAATTCTGGATAAAATATAAAAATGCAAAAAAAGTTCCAATTAACGGCATCTTTGCAGTTTGTTGTATATGATTTGCATACTTTTGGAAGTTTGCTGTAGCAATATACCCTGTATGGGATCAAAAAGTTTGTTCATTGTATCCAGGAGTTAAATATAGCTGCGTTTGACTGTAATTTATTCAGCATGTGTATGCCATTTTGCTCCCCTTAAGGAATGTTCTGTAACAAAAACGATGGTTTTATTAATTTCTTAATAATGCTTATTGACATGAAAAGCAGAAAATTCTTCTGCAAGTAAAATTTTTGATTTAAAAAACATGCTATTCTTTTCTTTGAAACCAAATAAAAAATATCGAAGAGATAACAGTTAAAATAGTAATGAAAGTTTTGATATATTTTATTATTTAAAATATTTATCATTAATTTTATATGTACACTGATGTAATTTTAAAGTCTGCTTAAGCCTCTAGTTTGCATTTTCTTTATTAAAGTTTCATGTTTAAAATTATAAATATAATTAAAAAATAAAAGATGTATATAATTTTTCTCCCAGGATTATTATTTTTCATCCATGAATTTAACTGGAAGATATGTTACTGAAGAGCAGCAATGTAAGCTGTGTGGAAAAATATGGTCATAGTAAAGCCAAGTGCCCTCATAATTTAAAACAATGTATGAAGTATGCAGTTTTTTTTTCAACTTTGTATTTGCACTCAAATTTTCCTCCAAACAGAAATTATGCATTTTTTATTTTATTTATGCTATCAGTTGTAAAATTCGATAAAATGTTTCTGGCAGTTATGAATTTGACTGCTTCCGTTTTGTAATTTTTTATTAATATTCACCAGTATCTTCAGTGCAGAAGTTTATATTTACAGCTCGCTATGCTGATGTATTTTTGATGATAAAACAGAATGCAGAGAGTTTTGTAAAAGAATATGTAAGGGTTTTGCTGTTCTGAAAAATATGAAAAAGAAAAATTATCTTTTAACTCATGTATCTTATCCAGTGTTCTTGAGAACACAGTCCTTTCTCCCAAAATATGTATGATTGTGAAACAAGGATTTGATAACCTTTTTAAAGAATATCTCACAAAAGGCCTAAAGAATGTCAAAGACCAATTCAGAGGGTAGGACTTAAAGAGCATATATATTCAAGCAAAACAAACCGATAAGGATCAAAACTTTCCATTCCCTAAAATAAGAATCAACTGAAAAACTTCAACCATATAACATTCACTCTTTATCTGAGTAGCAAAACTTTCAAAATTTGTCATAACATCAGACTTGAATAAAGTTCTATCTGGCAGATCGGAAAAAGCATTTTGAATCAATCAGAGACCCTGGTCCTGTACACCAAGAATGTCCTAAGATATGCTTATTGTATTCTCATTCTCCAAGGGTTGCATGTCACACCTATCTCGCTTAGCCTCACTTAGAACACAGAGCAAAGTCGGATTGAAGATAAAAGAAAAATGGCATAAAGGTAAAGGTATTTTTGTTAATGCTTCTGGAATGAGAAATGTGTTTCGTAATTTCTTAAGTGCAAATGATTTTCATATAGTAATTGTTTCAATGAAATTTCATAGTAATTGTTTCAATGAAACTTGGCAGAAATTCTGGATAAAATATAAAAATAAAAATGCAAAAAAGTTCCAATTAACGGCATCTTTGCAGTTTGTTGTATATGATTTGCATACTTTTGGAAGTTTGCTGTAGCAATATACCCTGTATGGGATCAAAAAGTTTGTTCATTGTATCCAGGAGTTAAATATAGCTGCGTTTGACTGTAATTTATTCAGCATGTGTATGCCATTTTGCTCCCCTTAAGGAATGTTCTGTAACAAAAACGATGGTTTTATTAATTTCTTAATAATGCTTATTGACATGAAAAGCAGAAAATTCTTCTGCAAGTAAAATTTTTGATTTTAAAAAACATGCTATTCTTTTCTTTTGAAACCAAATAAAAAATATCGAAGAGATAACAGTTAAAATAGTAATGAAAGTTTTGATATATTTTATTATTTAAAATATTTATCATTAATTTTATATGTACACTGATGTAATTTTAAAGTCTGCTTAAGCCTCTAGTTTGCATTTTCTTTATTAAAGTTTCATTGTTTAAAATTATAAATATAATTAAAAAATAAAAGATGTATATAATTTTTCTCCCAGGATTATTATTTTTCATCCATGAATTTAACTGGAAGATATGTTACTGAAGAGCAATGTAAGCTGTGTGGAAAATATGGTCATAGTAAAGCCAAGTGCCCTCATAATTTAAACAATGTATGAAGTATGCAGTTTTTTTTTCAACTTTGTATTTGCACTCAAATTTTCCTCCAAACAGAAATTATGCATTTTTTATTTTATTTATGCTATCAGTTGTAAAATTCGATAAAATGTTTCTGGCAGTTATGAATTTGACTGCTTCCGTTTTGTAATTTTTTATTAATATTCACCAGTATCTTCAGTGCAGAAGTTTATATTTACAGCTCGCTATGCTGATGTATTTTTGATGATAAAACAGAATGCAGAGAGTTTTGTAAAAGAATATGTAAGGGTTTTGCTGTTCTGAAAAATATGAAAAAGAAAAATTATCTTTTAACTCATGTATCTTATCCAGTGTTCTTGAGAACACAGTCCTTTCTCCCAAAATGTATGATGTGATGTGAAACAAGGATTTGATAACCTTTTAAAGAATATCTCACAAAAGGCCTAAAGAATGTCAAAGACCAATTCAGAGGGTAGGACTTAAAGAGCATATATATTCAAGCAAAACAAACCGATAAGGATCAAAAAACTTTCCATTCCCTAAAATAAGAATCAACTGAAAAACTTCAACCATATAACATTCACTCTTTATCGAGTAGCAAAACTTTCAAAATTTCATAACATCAGACTTGAATAAAGTTCTATCTGGCAGATCGGAAAAAGCATTTTGAATCAATCAGAGACCCTGGTCCTGTACACCAAGAATGTCCTAAGATATGCTTATTGTATTCTCATTCTCCAAGGGTTGCATGTCACACCTATCTCGCTTAGCCTCACTTAGAACACAGAGCAAAGTCGGATTGAAGATAAAAGAAAAATGGCATAAAGGTAAAGGTATTTTTGTTAATGCTTCTGGAATGAGAAATGTGTTTCGTAATTTCTTAAGTGCAAATGATTTTCATATAGTAATTGTTTCAATGAAATTTCATAGTAATTGTTTCAATGAAACTTGGCAGAAATTCTGGATAAAATATAAAAATGCAAAAAAAGTTCCAATTAACGGCATCTTTGCAGTTTGTTGTATATGATTTGCATACTTTTGGAAGTTTGCTGTAGCAATATACCCTGTATGGGATCAAAAAGTTTGTTCATTGTATCCAGGAGTTAAATATAGCTGCGTTTGACTGTAATTTATTCAGCATGTGTATGCCATTTTTGCTCCCCTTAAGGAATGTTCTGTAACAAAACGATGGTTTTATTAATTTCTTAATAATGCTTATTGACATGAAAAGCAGAAAATTCTTCTGCAAGTAAAATTTTTGATTTTAAAAAACATGCTATTCTTTTCTTTTGAAACCAAATAAAAATATCGAAGAGATAACAGTTAAAATAGTAATGAAAGTTTTGATATATTTTATTATTTAAAATATTTATCATTAATTTTATATGTACACTGATGTAATTTTAAAGTCTGCTTAAGCCTCTAGTTTGCATTTTCTTTATTAAAGTTTCATTGTTTAAAATTATATAAATATAATTAAAAAATAAAAGATGTATATAATTTTTCTCCCAGGATTATTATTTTTCATCCATGAATTTAACTGGAAGATATGTTACTGAAGAGCAATGTAAGCTGTGTGGAAAATATGGTCATAGTAAAGCCAAGTGCCCTCATAATTTAAACAATGTATGAAGTATGCAGTTTTTTTTTCAACTTGTATTTGCACTCAAATTTTCCTCCAAACAGAAATTATGCATTTTTATTTTATTATGCTATCAGTTGTAAAATTCGATAAAATGTTTCTGGCAGTTATGAATTTGACTGCTTCCGTTTTGTAATTTTTTATTAATATTCACCAGTATCTTCAGTGCAGAAGTTTATATTTACAGCTCGCTATGCTGATGTATTTTTGATGATAAAACAGAATGCAGAGAGTTTTGTAAAAGAATATGTAAGGGTTTTGCTGTTCTGAAAAATATGAAAAAGAAAAATTATCTTTTAACTCATGTATCTTATCCAGTGTTCTTGAGAACACAGTCCTTTCTCCCAAAATATGTATGATTGTGAAACAAGGATTTGATAACCTTTTTAAAGAATATCTCACAAAAGGCCTAAAGAATGTCAAAGACCAATTCAGAGGGTAGGACTTAAAGAGCATATATATTCAAGCAAAACAAACCGATAAGGATCAAACTTTCCATTCCCTAAAATAAGAATCAACTGAAAAAACTTCAACCATATAACATTCACTCTTTATCTGAGTAGCAAAACTTTCAAAATTTGTCATAACATCAGACTTGAATAAAGTTCTATCTGGCAGATCGGAAAAAAGCATTTTGAATCAATCAGAGACCCTGGTCCTGTACACCAAGAATGTCCTAAGATATGCTTATTGTATTCTCATTCTCCAAGGGTTGCATGTCACACCTATCTCGCTTAGCCTCACTTAGAACACAGAGCAAAGTCGGATTGAAGATAAAAGAAAAATGGCATAAAGGTAAAGGTATTTTTGTTAATGCTTCTGGAATGAGAAATGTGTTTTCGTAATTTCTTAAGTGCAAATGATTTTCATATAGTAATTGTTTCAATGAAATTCATAGTAATTGTTTCAATGAAACTTGGCAGAAATTCTGGATATAAATATAAAAATGCAAAAAAAAGTTCCAATAACGGCATCTTTGCAGTTTGTTGTATATGATTTGCATACTTTTGGAAGTTTGCTGTAGCAATATACCCTGTATGGGATCCAAAAAGTTTGTTCATTGTATCCAGGAGTTAAATATTAGCTGCGTTTGACTGTAATTTATTCAGCATGTGTATGCCATTTTGCTCCCCTTAAGGAATGTTCTGTAACAAAAACGATGGTTTATTAATTTCTTAATAATGCTTATTGACATGAAAAGCAGAAAGAAAATTCTTCTGCAAAGTAAAATTTTTGATTTTAAAAAACATGCTATTCTTTCTTTTGAAACCAAATAAAAAATATCGAAGAGATAACAGTTAAAATAGTAATGAAAGTTTTGATATATTTTATTATTTAAAATATTTATCATTAATTTTATATGTACACTGATGTAATTTTAAAAGTCTGCTTAAGCCTCTGTTTGCATTTTCTTTATTAAAGTTTCATTGTTAAAATTATAAATATAATTAAAAAATAAAAGATGATATAATTTTTCTCCAGGATTATATTTTTCATCCATGAATTTAACTGGAAGATATGTTACTGAAGAGCAATGTAAGCTGTGTGGAAAATATGGTCATAGTAAAGCCAAGTGCCCTCATAATTTAAACAATGTATGAAGTATGCAGTTTAAATCATATTCATAGCAATATCACATAAATTATTATGAAAAAAATGTTGAGTGGTATTTTTAGGTGCTGGGGAAAACTGTAAGTATGTACATTTCTACAGCATTTGAGTTTTTTATATTAACCATCATTGCTATTAATGTATTTTAAAGTTCTACAAAGTAGTTTTTTCATTGCGTGTTACGAATATCAGCCATTGTGTAACCATCTGTATATTCATTTCGGGTTTTGTGTGTTTAACCCTTTGACATGCGCGATATTATTTTTATAATTTTTTTAACTAAAAACTCTAGAAATAAAATATTATGATCCTAGAGACAAATAATATATGAATTTAAAAAAATCTACTCTTGCCCATTGTTCTGTGGGTGGTGGTCGCACTGTGAAACCACCGCTCGTCTAGGACTTGAAACTTACCGAGGTAAGTAGGAAAAAAAAAAAAACTTACCTTTTTCCGTACGCGATTCCAATAAATGACGAAATTTACGAATTTTTAAAAAAATGCATGTAGGAATTGCATAATTTCATAATATATATTTTTTACATTATTTTACAAAGTAAATCGTCAGAAAAAATTAAAAAATAAACACTTATGTAATTTTTCTATAGCAGTGAAAGTACCTACATAATAAGGACATTCGGCTGCATGGATTAACAAACTCAGTACAAATAAGGATAAAAAAAAGACTCAATGTGTTTTTTTTAAGAACAAAATACTTTTTTGTGACATTGTTCAAAGAACATGTTTGTATTTTTGGTACATGCATGCCCACATTGCACGTTTCGCCGCATGTATCTTCTTCTATGAGGTTTCTTCCTTGTGCTAGAAAATGTACACTGATTGGATGTAAATTTCACTGGTATACGTCCAGCGTTATTTAGTTTCTTTTCATCTGGCACATGAAATTTGTGGTGTTTTTATGTTAATAAGGAGGGGCTTAGTCTTTTTGCCTTTGATACGGATCATTCGTTTCCCACTATACTCATTTTATTCGTATTTCGTCTCAAAGTATTCAGAAAATATTTTTAATTTAAATAAAACTTTACGCGGTTTCTATTTTTAATTACAGCAAAGTATATTTGCTTTAAATTTAAAACACAGAAATAATGTATAAACTCAGAATACTAGCTTGGGGAGCAAGTGTGTTGAGGTCAAGAGAAAAGTCTCTGGAAAAGAAAGACCATTTTACTGGGCAGGTGCATGTATTGTTTAGTAATAAAATAACTCTGAGATTTCAAAACCTCTTATCTATATCCGGGTAAAAATAAAAATTCCTATTTGAGAAGCAAGCAAATGCCATTGTGAAGAGCAGTGGTTTCAAGGCACGACCACAAAGCCTCTAGAGCATTGTGACACAATACTCTAGTGGGGCAGTGGTCGCGCCTTGAAACCACAAAGCAAATGCCATACATATAGAGGTTTTTTTTTTATATATGCAGTTTAATTATTGCTACTTTTTATTGTTTATGATAGAAATCATGATGTGCGATGAATAACTTTTGAAATTTAAAGTTGTTTATATTAATAAAAGAAAGTTATTTTGTCTCATTGAAAACGAATTTTAAAAAGCATCCGATTTGAAGTACTAAGACCTAAAACATGTATGATTCTGTAGTCATTTTGTGTTATTTAGAGGTCAAAGATCAGTAATCAATTGATTTTCACTCAAAAATTTCGGAAGGAAGAGGAGAAAAAAATTCGAAAATTGGTGGTTTCAGGGCGCGACCACCGCGCGTCAAAGGGTTAAGAAAGCATGGTATTTTTCATCATTAAATTTTGATCAGTGCTATTACAGGAAATTATATGAGAATATTTAAGAAAACAAGTCCTCATTATTGTTCTGTTCAACGAACTACTGCATGTAAAAATTATTCTTGTATTACAAGCAAAATAACAAAATATCCTATCTGAGAATAATGGACCAGAGTATTCAGAAGTAATAGTTCTTGTAAAACTACTTTAAGCAGCATATCACTATAATTATTGTATTTGTTTGAACAGGGTGGAAATTAGAAATATTTTCAAAATAAATTTTGTAATATCTTGTGATGCATTGCTTTTGAACCAAAAGATTTTGCACAGTTTCATAGTGCATTTTCTTTCTTTTTTATTATTTTATTTACTATGACCTTTCTCATGATGCTTTTTGTCTGAGAATTTTTAAAAGATTGAAATTTATTGATTTTATGCATTTAAAAATGTTTGATATCATTTTTGTACTTTACTTTCTGTCTCAAATTAATGTTTAATAATTGTGTATTTTCTCGTATGTGTATTGCATATTCTCTCATACAATAGCCACGCTTTTTTTCACAGAAAAGTTGATAAAATAAGAGATGCAGTTTATACACACAAATGATAAGAGACATGTGGCAACACAGCAATGCGTACAATATAGTAGTGCATATTTAATGATTGAGTAGAAAATCCATTGTTATTGGTTGAATGGATTCTACAAACTCTGTTGTGGTTACTGGTTGTTTGAAGGAAAATGTCAAGCAAACTATTTAGATATGATGTTCAATTTCAACTGCTAAAACATTTTGTCTCAGTGTGTGGTAAGTAATGTTTTCATTTTAATAACTTTCATGTTTTGCACCTCTGAAATGAAAAAAAAAATATTGTAGATGGTAGGCGGACTAAAAATGAAGTGTGTGGCCTATAAACACGAGAATATGGTAATTCATATTTCAGTTTTCTGTTTTGTATTGATATGTGCTATGAATTATTTGATGTTGTTGAATTTAAAAAGTTGAAAAGTTGAATTTAAGCATTAAAAATTGTTATCTTGAACGTAATTTTATTTTATCCCATCTAGTCATCTTTAGTCATCATATTTCTTCTCACTTTTCACCTAGATGTAATTCTAAGATAAATAAGAAAAAAAAATCAAAATGCAGTCTGTTTGTAAATATGCAATACCACATTTTAATGTTTTAAAATTATATTAAATATTGCATAAACATTGTATGTTGCAACTTTATATACACAAGATCGGGGAAAGAAAAATTATAAATCATTAAATGAAATTTTATTTCCTTGTGAAAATTGTATTATTTCTTTTATTTATCTTAAATTTTTTTAAAGTTATTTTTATTTTCCTTATTTCAAAAGAATGATTTGAGTGATTATTAACTAGTCATTTTGAAACAATTGTTAACAATTTTCATCTTAAAACTTATACATATGTTTGTCATGTTTATTTTTAAATATTATTTCCATGCAGAAGTAACAACTGATAAACTAAATATTACTTAAGTTGAATGTGCAATTTTCTTTCAATATTGAAATTTTTATATGTAAAAGCTACTTCTATTACTTATTTGCTATATAATGTTTACTTATTTCTAGGCTTTATATTTTTTAAACTGTTTGAGTTCCAAGAGGTATTGAAAAAACACTGTCGAAGAATCCAAAACAGTGCAACCTCTCTTTTCTCTAAATAAGCGCAAAAAGACCCAAGCAACGCGATAGTGCTTGTTTTATTTTATGTCGAGAAATATCAAGTGGTGCAATAGCGCTTTATTTATTTTACATCAATGTGCACTATCAAGTGCACTGTCAGTTGTTTCACAATGCTCGAAATTTACTGGATTTTCTTGACATAAAATCTCAACAGCATGATCATGTTCCTTGAGACTCAAACGGTTAAACTCAAACATATACATATATATATAATGTAAGATAAAAAATATGTGAATCAAAATTATAATTTAAACTTACGGTAAAACATTAATTCTCCCTCTCTATTCTAAAAATCGCAATAACTTATCTGCATTGCGTCATTTCTAGATCTTTGTTTTTTTTCTCTTTTTTTGAATGGCCTATGCAACATTGATGACATAATAATTGAGAACTGAAACTACCATTGTAAACCAAAACCTTTCTCTTCATGTTCTTTCATAACTACGCACTTCAGCTTCTGTCTCTACTTTGCTTGCATGTAATTTCGCTATGCTGCTTGCTATTGCAAAAATATCAATAATGTAAATGTTCTTGAACAGGCACGACTAGGGTGTCAAGTGATCTGTGGCCACATAATGTCAATTGGAAATAAAAATGGAATTAAAATCGCCTCGAATTAAAATTGCCACGTTTTATTTACAAAGTCAATACATTAGCTTATGAAGTAATCAGAATAGGATGCATGTAGGAATTGCATAATTTTATAATATATATATTTTTTACATTATTTTACAAAGTAAATCGTCAGAAAAAATTAAAAAATAAACATTTATGTAATTTTTCTATAGCAGTGAAAGTACCTACATAATAAGGACGTTTGGCTACATGGATTAAAAAACTCAGTACAAATTCTCAGTAATTGCCATAATAAAAGCATGGAAAAGACGAGCACTGTTGATGCGTAGTTATCCTATATTGAAGAGAAAGTATTCTGATTGCATCGTAAGCTAATGTGTTGACTTCTTAAATAAAACTTGGCAGTCAAGGCGATTTTAATTCCATTTTTATTTCCAATTGACATTATGTGGCCACAGATCACTTGGCACCCTAGTCTTGCCTGTTCAAGAACATTTACATTATTGATATTTTTGCAATAGCAAGCAGCATAGCGAAATTACATACAAGCAAAGTAGACAGAAGCTGAAGTGCGTAGTTATGAAAGATGGAAGCACGCAAAGAGAAAAGTTTTGGTTTGCAATGGTAGTTTCAGTTCTCAATTATTACGTCATCAGCGCTGCATAGGCCATGCAAAAAAGAGAAAAAAACAAAGATCTAGAAATAATGCAATGCAGATAAGTTATTGCAACTTTTAGAATAGAGAGGAAGAATTAATGTTTTACTGCTAGTTTAAATTATAATTTTGATTCATATATTTTTTATCTTACATAGGACTGCGGTTAATTTTTTTTATAAATGGGGTGTTGTAGTGCAGTTCGCAAAGGCCAGTTACATAATAAAAAGAATGGAGGCCTTTCCAAGTAACTGCTCAAATAGCTGGAAGTGTGTACTAGGAGAAAGCTGTGGGGTCTTCCAGTTTGTACAAAATAAGTCAATTAAAAATTTCGATAATAATAGTATATTATTTCAAATACAAATTTAATTACATTATAAAATTTTGAAATGTTTGCTATTTTGTAATGTTAATGAATGTGTTTGAAATTTTTGTATTTGAAAAAGTTTTAAAAGCCTTCCCTAAATAGATATGATTATGAAATTTATTTCCTTATTTTTATATTCACAAAATTATATGGTCCATATTATTATTGTAAAGCAGTGTAGGATTTAATATATCTTTAATTTTGCATATTGTATATTTTTTACATTTCAATTAACTAGTTTGAAGATTTTTTATAGTTATAAATCTTGATAATTATACAATACTACATAAACTTTGATAATTATACAATACTAGAGGCCAGTTACCTTTATTAAGGAACAGAGGTTTCTATGTGTAATTGTATTTAAGCGTCCCACAGTCATCAGCAAGTTGTCATGCTGATTTGCATTGTAGAGGATTTGCCCATTTTTATCTATTTTGTTAGTCTATTTTGTTAGTTTATTAAAGTCTATTTTGG